TCTAAGCAGATTAAAAATTTTATCTTTTAAAATAGAATAAGAATTTTTTCTAAAAATAAAATAAATAAATTATTTAAAAAAAAAAAAAATTGTTGTAAAAAAAAAAAAAAAAAAAAAAAGTCCATACGTATTTGGATTTTATCATCTCGGCCCATTAGTCGTTCGACTATATTCATCAAAAGAACGTTTTCAGTAATCGCAGGGACTATAAACATTCCTTTTTCGATCACAGGAGTGCTATAATAAAACTTTAATTATGAACGATTTGGACGAGATCCTGGACTTTGAAGAGACAGTAGACTTTAATTTATCTGATAATCCCGATGCACTTGACGTTGAAATATTAGACGAGGATGGTCTGTTTAGTCTTGATGATATAGGCTTTGAAAATAGTAAACAACAAGATGAAGGTAAGTCTATTAAAGAATTTCAAACCGTCCGAGATGATGCAACATGACATTTTGTTCAAATAAGGAACTACACTATTAGAGAACACTAAGGACGGCGATAATGGCAAGACTCAAAATAACGAACAACATATAGAGTTAGATAAGAACATATCCGGTGGCACAACACAACCACCGATGGAACATTTAGAAGAAACTAGCGTAGAAATCTCTGAATTTAACCTGGATGACCCTTATTTCCTCAAAGGATACGAAGATGCGAATGGCGGAATAGATAGCGAAATGAACATTGAAGATGAAGAATTTTGGAAAGGACTAGGCGTGGATCCATCTGATACTTTAGGTAAAGAAGATAGTAAAGGGTCTGATTTAGTTGGGAAACTTGAAACAGACAATTCTACATCTGCATTACCACAAAAAGAGAACACGTTTAAATCTTCATCATCAATGACTGATGTTGCTAAAGCTGATGGTAAAAAATCAAATACGTCTAATAACGGGAAATCTGTGACAAGAAAATCGAAATCTCCCGAAAAAGAAGATGGTGAGATTATCAATCAAACATCATCTCCTGATAATAATCGACAAGCTCAACAACAAAAATCAGCACAATCACAACAATCTCAAGCACAAAAACAAACTCAGCAACAACGAGCATTACAACATCCGC